TTGCCATGCCAACCAATCTCCGCGGCTCGCTGACCCGATACTCGCATCCCAAATACCGCGCGACGGCAGCCAACGGGTCCATCTCGGCCCCCTCGGGGGCGATTTCCGACGCCGCCCGCAGGAGCCCGCAACCCTTTTCCAAGGAGTCTGGGGGGCAGCAGGCGAGAAATCATCAACGTAAAAGTTCAGGAGCAGCATGAACTCTGCATTTCGGCCCAACTTTCGGGCCAAGCCTGTCTGGGCCACCGTGCCCCATTTGGCGCCCCGCACAGCGGCCTAGACTGAGCGCAGGCTTGACTGGCGCCAGCCTGCTCTATCTTGCGCAGTCCCGCTGGATCGTATCACTGCCAGGTTGCTCGGCAATTCCTGCAGCAAGGCAACATGCTTGCCCTGTTCTCTGACGTCGGACCCGTCAAATACTATTCACCCGTTGAACGCTTTATCCGGCTGGTCTTCTGGCGCCTCAACACTTAGACACTTGTGCTTGCGAAGATAGGGAAAGCGTCCCACGAGCATCGGTTGACCCTGTGCCTTCTTTAGGCCGTCCGACAGCCCCATCGCGGCAGAATCATTCCAGGCCTCGGGGGATGTCCCGTTCCGTCTCCAAGGCCTCGGTGGCCTTCGCGTCCCAAACCGCTGCCTGCCTGCCAAGCCCAAAGCGGCAAGTCACGTCGGCGGGCAGTAAGAACGGGCCCCTACACTCCCGCGACAGGCAAGACATGGGCTGCGACAGAGTCGTCCAAAACCCACGGTTTTTCACAATGAGCTTCGCGCGTCTCCTCCCTGGAATGGGAGGTGAGGAACCTCCCTCTTCGAAGTAGCGGCCGACCAACTCCACATTGGACGTCCCGTCTCGTTCCCATTGCGCGGCTTGGTTTGCTTCAGGAGAACATCGGCACCATCGCTCACAGCGGCGTCACAAAGCACGTCGCTGCCGCTGCCTTCGGCAACAAACGAAAATACATCGCCCGTGTCAAAATCGGAAACGGGCGACGTGAACCCGCGCTGTTAGCGACGCCACCGCACCCAGGATTCGCCCTGTGCACGAGCAGGCCGTCCAGAGGTTTCAGCCATATACCCCTCAGCAATTCCCCCCTAGGTCCAGGGTCAGTATATCCGAATAATGATTTGCTCCCTGCCCCGCACTTTGTTATTTTTTCCGTCGATCGGGCTTACGTGCGCTGAACAACCTCGATGGACGTGCGCTCGGACTGTCGGACTGAGGCATCCTTCGAAGCCACGCATTGTCATAATCTGGATAATCCGCCCATGAAGTTTCGCGCGCTAAGGCTCGCAAAAAAGAACGGCCCGCGCATGACAAGATTTTCCCGCCCTGCCATGGACAACAGCTTTTCTAATCCTTCCATCGGTAAACCGATTAAACGTAGACCTTCTTCAATACATTCGGAACTGATTTGGTTATGGGGCACGGTTGCAAATGTTTCGCGAAAGCAGCCGTCGCTGACCCCACCCACCCCCAAAATGACGCCACGTTCCGCGCCAGCGGCGTATGATCCGGGCCAAGTAGCAGCAGCGCGTAGGTGGCGATCTGCATCACAGCGCTTTCGCACGCCAGTTTTCGCGTGCATCACAGCGCGCGCGCACGCCACAACGCCTGCTTACACCGCAACAGCCGTGCGCAACGCAGCGCCCGTGTGAACCGCAGTGCTTGCGTGCACCGCGCAGCCTGCGTACCCCGCAGCGACCGCGCACACCTCGGCAGCCGTCTGCAACACAGCAGCAACGTTCACCACAGCGCCCGCGAGCACCACAGCGCGCGCGCACGCCAAAGCGCCCGTGCAAACCGCGCCGCCCGCGTGCAACATCACACTGGTGTGCACCACGGTGGAAGAAGCGCCACGGCGCCATGACACAGCGCCCCCGTGCCACAGCGCCTCCGGCTGCACTCCACAGGTGCCCCGCGGCTCAAGCGAAGTCCCTCAGGAGGACGCCGCCCCTGTCTCGGAGCGCGTCCCGATCCCCCTCCTCCTCCTCCCCCTCCTCCGCCCCTCCTCCCCCCCCTCCTCCGCCCCCTCCTCCTCGGCCTCTTCCTCCTGCTCCTCCTCCTCCTCATCATCATCATCAGCATCATCAGCATCATCATCATTTTCCTCCTCTTCCTCGTCCTCCTCCTCCTCCTCTTCCTCCTCTTCCTGAGGAGGACCCGTGGATTCCAGGGGCGTTCGTTTTTCGATAACGATGCTTTTCCACCTCCTACATAAAGCATTTTTTGTGGAGTCCATAGGCGCCTAGTTTTGTCACAAGGTTTCTAAAATTATCTACAACAATGGTGTTCTGTTTCACGCAGCTGCTGTGGTGCACACGGCCGCCGCGGTGTACACAGGCACAGGCGCTGTGGCGCACGCGGGCGCTGTGGTGTAAGCTGGTGCTGTGTTGCACACGGCTGCTGTGGTGTACGCAGACGCTGTGGTGTACACGAACGCTGTGGTGCACGGGCGAACTGTGGTGCACACTGGCGCTGTTTTGCACGCGGTTGTTG